GTGTCTTGGGCAAAATTATGATGCTGGTCTGATACTGGCCTTGCTTGACAGAGAATGAAAGGCAACATAATTACAGTGTGTCTGGTTTTGGGCACATCCCTCAGGCAGGCTTAGACATGGTATCTGCTTGGGCTCAAGCAGAAGATTGGCACTGGGCCCCTGTGGTAGAACTGTGCTAATTAAGCTGAGAAGTCTGTGGCTAAGTGTCCGGGGGCCAGGTGTGTTTTACCATAGTACCTTGCATTTACAGCAGTCAGTTGTCTCCGTTTACCTTGGGTCTCTAAAGCAGTTTTGGGGTGTGCAAATTAAATTGCTGTCAATGAAAAATTAACTGGAAGCCTCACCTCAAATAGGCTTGAACACTTAATGGGATCTTAAGTCCCAAACCCACGTTTGGATCTTAAAAAGAACTTCCACTGTGTACTTTAACAAACATAACTAACAGAAGGCTGGAACTACCAAACACTCCCACTTTACTCTGAAGTGGCTTGCAGGCCGCAGGAGCTTGTGAGTCCAACAGTATTTTGTAAGTTTAAATGGCAGGTGTACGCACATGCACCGTATGGACTGAAGTGGGATTAGGCCATCATTTTGGACTTAATTTCTTAAAGTCAGCTAACTTTTGTTTCAGGTGTCTGCATTGTTTTTCTGTGAATGCTAAGTCACCTTTGAAAGGGACTCCAGCTGACTTATCCAGCTGGTGCATTGAAGAACTTAACCTATATTCCTATTTCATTTAGTGTGCAAAGTTGTAATGAAAAGTTCTGGCAGCAGGGCTGGTTTAGTCACCTCCTCGCACTTCATTCTGATGCCATGCTACCCTTTTGAGTTAGGCTGGTAGAATTGTTTGCGTATCAACTGAGAAAAATGTGTGGTTTCCTGTTTGGTTGATGTGGTAGCTCCCTCAGTCCAGCTGGTCCACCTTTCTGTTGGGCTGTGCATGGGCTGCTTAAACTGACAGTGCTGTAGAAACAAATACCAAAACATCTTAAGTTGTTTTCTAACAGTCTCCCTACTACCACACTTTAATAAATTTGGGGGTTCAAAGCATATAAAATACAACTAGTGTTTTGCAGAATTGCTTTTTATGCTGCATTTTAAATGTTTTGTCCTCTGATGCTAGACAGGTTCTTGCGGGAAGTTTTCTGACTCTTGTGCTGTATAACACAGGTAGCCCTCATTTATCCTACACTAATTTACTGAACTTGCCAGTGTAGAAATATATTTGTATATGCAGTGATTTGTTTCCTGAAGAATGGGATACAATGTAGTGCTTTATTTTTGTTTGACTATATATACTAAATGTATTTTTTTCCCCCCTCATGATATTCTGACAAATTCACAGATTGGCTGCTACCTCGGGTTTGCACTGACGTGGCAGTGTCTGCTCCAGAAGTGCACAGATGAAAAGAACAGGTAAGGTTAAAAAAAAAAAACAAAAACTGTTCCTCTAATACTGTTTCAAAGGATGGTGTCCAGTTCTGCTGCTTCCGCAGTACAAAAGAAATATTGAAAAACAGAAGAAAGGTGAGCAGAGGGCCACTAGGGTGGTATCGTGTGCTGGACCACGTGTTACTGGGAAGAGGATAAGGGAACTTGGTTTCTTCAGCCTGGAGAAGAGAAGACAAGGGAGATATCTAGTTGTACCACATAAGGGGAAGTTCTAGATAAGGTGGAGGCACGTTCCTTGCAAACCGCACAGTGAAAGGACAACAGGAAACTTTCATAATTTCAAACAAGTCAAGTTCTAGTGGACATAAGGAGAGGATCCTTTCCAGTGCAAGCAGCTAAGCACTGGGACAAGTTGTCCAGAGAGACTCTGGAAGCTCCATCTTTGTAGATTTTCAGCATCTGGTTGGAGATGGCACTGAGCAACCTTATCTGGCTTTGAAGTTAGTCCAGCTTCCACAGAAGGTGGACTAGATGACCTCCAGCTGTCCCTTCCAACCTACATTTTTCTATGACTTATTCTTTTCTCCATAATTTTTCTTCTGTCCGGTGATTAATGTATCTGACAGAATGGGCACCGTCCTGTCAGACATTTTGATAGTGTTCTGGTGAGCTTTTTTTATTGCGTTTCTTTATTTCACTTAGTCAGTATTTCTGAAGATTCTTTGGTAGGTAAGTTAAAAGGGAAACCTTAACTTTTGTCAGTTGTGCTACAGCTTAATTTCTGATTATGGCTTAAATATGTATCAAATACTAAACACTCTCAGTAAGCTAAATGGCAGAAGTTGAATTAAGGAAGGATGGAGGGCTTGGTTCTATGCTCTGAATTATTATATATATATATAAGTATTAATATAATTTTCATATTGATGGATTGAAAAAACTTCTGTATTGGCTCATTGGTTTTTCTGTTTTGATTTTTTTTTTTTTTTTCCCTTTTTGTAGCAAAAAGATAAGGGCTCTGGATTCATTAATAGGGATGATTCAGAAATTCCCATACGAAGACCCCACTTACGATAAGCTGCAAGAAGATCTGGAAAAAATCAGAGGAAAATTTAAACAGGTTTGTAGGATTGTTATTTTAGCACAAAATGGTATTAATTTCTGACAATATTTAGTCTCTAAACCTGCTCGAAACCACAGTATTTGTGCAGAGCAATTATTTTCACTGTAATTGTAAAAGGAGAACAGTACTTGGAGAGAATTAAGTGAAGTACTTGATAGTTGAAAATTCCCCAACCGATGGCAAATGCAAAATAAGAGAAAAATATTCTTTTAAATGAAAATATTATTTGACAATGAATTACAGGTGGGACCAGGAGAAGAGATATGGAGGAATTGGGAGTTTTGTTGAACATTCTTCTTGGAAAATAGATGCTTTGAAACACTTTTGTGTATTCTTTTTTAGGTTTGTTCAGTGCTAAATATTCAGTCTGATTTTAGAATTGGTACTGAAAGATCTTCACTAACATTTTGAATATAACAGATGAAGATAAACATGGATGACCAAAGAAGAAACATTAAAAGAACAGATAACTGGAAAGTGTTTGCTCTTATTTTAAACAAAATTGAAATAGTGAAGAGGTGCTAAATATTAAAGGAGAAAGGGAAAACCATTGAACTTGCAATAGTACTTTTCATATGTCATTTAACATTTATTATTTCCAGGTTTTACTTAGGATTGCTGAAGCACCCGTGTGTAAACCTGTTAAATAGAAATATTTGCTTTAATTCCTCACTAGCCTTGTACTAATAGATTAATTCCGCAAAAGGAAAACATACGCATTTGCAAAGCTTCCTTGTTTAAAGGGTGTTTGTTACTTAAAAATCTGTGTATGCAGATCATTCAGTTTACACAATGTATAGATATTGTAGGGGAGGTAAAATACAATCAATCGCCTGCAGACTTTGCAGTAGGAATCATTTTTGTGCATAAAGGGTAGAATGACAAATGAAGTCAGAATGTGAAGGAGAAAGATTAAGAGATCTGCTCATAAAGTAGCTGCAGGTCAGAACATGAAATTTGCACTTTCCATGACTTCTGCAGACTGATGCGGGGGGCGGGAGGAAGGGGGAACACCATGAACCCCTCCCAGAAACCAAACCCAAAAAGCCGGCAATTTCAGTGATCAATGAGAGAAACATGACTTCCCCAAGAGTTGTGATACTGGTACTAGCATCTACTAGTACCTGTTACTGAAGAATAGCTTTTTATTTTCCTGTCTTGAAAATACATTCTTTAGTCTAATTCGGATGCTGTCAGCTAAATGTATTCAACTATATTAGTTTAAGAGAAATACAGTTAATTATTTTTCCTGAAAAATGTTTGTGGTTGGACTGCTAGATGTCTTTGCATACCATTTGCAATACAGTTAAATAATGAATGTACACTTCATCAGTTCTAACGTATGCGTGTCTGGCTAAGTCTACATGGCATAGTGTAGCTTCATAAAGGCACATTTGACTACCATGGGTATCAGAAGCTGTATGCAGGGTGAACTATCTCAGGTGAAGGAAATGCTTTAATATGGCCATATCCTTGAATAACGCTACTTTGTGCCATCTAGACCTCGGTTCTGGTTTACCTTGTACAGCTTTTTTACTATAGAAGAAAATAAGCAACTTGAATTTTTAAAATGTGCACTGTGTATTCACATCTGGGATATGAAGGACATGCATTCCGCTAAAATTTTTGGATTTGGGACTCTGAAGATGAAAAGTTTTGCTGACTGTATGGAGGGAGTGGTGTGCATATGCGTCAGTTAATTTCAGAAAAATCTTTTACTTTTTGTCTGTTTCCTGAGTATGCAAGTATGCCAATTGCAGAGCCTTTTCTTGATAACTGGTTGCTGGTGTATCTTTTTTGTTTGTTTAATTGTCTTCAAACATAGTGACTGTTAGGGCCATCTAGTGGAGGAGGTCATTGTATTGTGTAAGAAACAGATTATAGGAGTTCACAAATATTTATTTAGATAGAAGTTGTTAAAATAGTGCAGAACATATGTACGCGTCATACAGCTCTTCTAATTATGTGGTGAATTTCTTTGAAATAAAGTAATATTGAGGTAGGATTCATTTGTAGCTCATTTCCTCATTTGAGACCTTGGAAAGGACGTGACTGCATTGATGGTCTCTTCATTTAGGGCAGTTTGTGTACAGTTGGCTTTTAATTGTTATGCAGATAAACAAATCCAAATTTGAAAAAGTTGTCTCTGCATCCTCAAGCCAGTTTATTTTTGCAAATCAAAGTTTTTTACCCATTATGCTTCAAATTAACGAAAGGTACTAGATACTTATCTATGATTAACTTTGACTTAAAATATTTTTTTCGTTGAAGTCCATGAATTATGCTTTAAATAAACTCCTCTGGATCTTGGTCTAAAAAGGGCAGTTTTGTTGTTCTTCTGAATGATAGTACAAAGAAGTAAATGCTGGAGGTCTAAGTATTCACGTTTTAAAATGCAGCCTTTTTTGGAATCTTTGTACATGGTTTATAAAAATGTATCTAAAAGCAAGGGAAGGGATGTGAGAGCTCCAACTATCTGTGAAGTATTTGATTAATAGAAGTGTATGGTATATAAGTCACATGCCAAGTGCTACTCTAGAGATTGCATTGAAACCAAAGTTATTTTTCTTCGACTAAGGAGAAAGGATCTGTGCAGATCAAGTGGTCAATGACTGTTATTTTGAAAATTGGTTTGGTGGCTAATTTTCTTGTATTGCTTTAATTTTATTTATAACAAATTAATATTATTAGAATAAATTATTATATATGTATATACACATATTTGACTATAAAGATTGTAGCAACCTGGATTTAAAACTGGGATATGCCAGGCTTAGGGTTGCCTATTAGGTCTTTAATTTAGCTCCATGTGTGTGTACATACTGGTGGAGTCTCTTATTCCATGAGTCTGTATTTTTCTGAATATTTTTCTGAATATTTTCTGTTTCATGTCTTGTATGGGCCTGATGGTGTTTATTAAATGAGGTACGGTTAAAAATTCTGTTGCTGTTTATTAAACAAGGTATGGTTAAAAATTCTCTTGGAGACGTAGTTGTATACCTTCTTTGGTGCCAATCTTTTAAACTGTTTTCTGCAACAGAGTTATGGGGTTTTCTGTGATCAAGGCTGTAACAGTGGAGTCTTCACAGCATACTGCAGGGGTATTTTTATACCTTATTTACAGCTAAGGAGTTAAAGCCCAGGTTACATCAAGTATATTGATTTGCCTTAACCAATGCAAGATGTCTAATCTGACTCATTTCAAATAATTTTGCATTTTGAGTGCTTAAATACTTCAGAGTGTGCTTCTTGCCAACATTAAGAGTGGCTGAGTACCTAGCTTTTTTGCATGTTTGTACTTTTGCCTGTGTCTCAGATCAGTCACCTAGAAAATGAGGAACTTTACAGTTAGCAAACACACGTGAAAGGTGTGTGCTTAAGCCAACTAGAATGTTACGACAGGGGAGGGTACAGGGAGGGAGAATCCCATCAACATTTTGAAAACCAGTAGTGCAGTTTTGTGACATAAAAGCATATGGTTTCTTTTCTTTCGATGTCTTTCCTGTTATGTTAACATCTTCCTAAAAATCTGTAACAAATTCTTATAAATGTCTTCATTAGTTTCACACCATGCTTACTCATCCTGGGTCTTGAATGGTCAGGACTCTGGTGGAAGCAAGTGTTGCACTGTAATTAAAGACTTTTGGGAGGTCTATGCACAGAGAGGCTGAATAAAGCTGCTGTGGACCACAGTCATTTAGACATTTCCCAGTTTGAATGCTTGACTGTGCAACTTAAATATTGCTTTAAAGACTGGGTGAAAAAGATATGGAAAAAAATGCAACCTTTCAGATTATAATACTGGCTATTAATGGAGTGGGACATAGAGATTGTGGCTCTGTAGTGTATTGTCAGGTTTAAAATTTTGCTGAAGTACTTGATCTGTTAGGAACAGCTCAGATAGAAAATAGCTGCTAAAATTATTGAAGTTGCTAAGACTTCGAAATATATTGCTGTGTTCACTACATCTAGTTATTGCTCAGTAGTTAGGGAGGAATGTTTGAAACCTTTAACTTACAAATTTCTGACTTGCCTGGGCGGCGTTCTGGCTTGTTTGTTTCTTTATGATCATCTTTCAGCTGAAGCTGTAGAATACAGAATTTTATTAAAAGTTGGATACAAAGCTAATTACTGCTAAAGTACTGAAGTCAGTGTAGTCCAGAAGACTTGTACTTTTTGTTTCTACAGTATGTGATGAGTACAAGAAGTAGTGAGTTTTGAGGCATCAGAGGGGAAAGGTAAACTCTGACTACAGTGAATGAATTCCCTGCAGAACTGAATGCTGATTCAATGCTGTTTCATAGCCATGGGATCATTAACTGCTAATAGCAAATCAGCCATCACTAGAACATGCAAATCTGACTTTGTAGGTTATCTGTGTCACTGTACTACATCAGCACAGTAAAAAAAAAATAGCATGGAGTTTGTTAAAGCCTCCTAGTAAAATTATGAATAAAACATTTGTCCGTCTTCATTAAGCAGCATACTTTCTTTCCATTTGCTGTAAACTAATGTGAAGGGGATCAATTTCAGCTTTGCATGAACATCTGTAGCCAACAGAAATGGCTGAAATAAATCAGCAAAAAATCTGAGTATGCAACTGTTCGCTTAAAAAACAACCCTGTAGGAGGGGCCTGGCTCATTCAATCCTATTGTGTTTTTCTGGAACAGGGTTATGATAATTTACACGTGGATGTGTAAGGAAGTCTGGCTTCCCAGTTTGGCATGCCGTGTTTGGTTATGTGACTTTTTGATCTGATTGCTACTGAGGTATGAAATATATAAGCAACAGTGTATTGTAGTGTACACATAGAACCTGTACAAACTCGTGTTGCTACCTTTCTGGATATACGCCATTTAGAGGAAGAAAAATAAAGACTGGTTTAAACACTCTGGGGTTTTTTGTTGAGTAAAGTACACATTTTGGTCTCTGTCTTTAGGATTTCTAGGAAGGTATCACATTTTTATTGATTATTTTTAAATAGATTACCTTGAGATAAAATAATGAGTTTTAATTTTTCAGTAGATCAGTTCCAAAGTTTATAAACATATAGGTTTTGTTTTTTGAAGAGATTTGAGAGACAGTTTGAGTGCTATGATGTATTTATGAATGTTTATTTACACTTTGGCTGTAAATACAACTTCCTTTATTGGAACAAAGGGAGATCCGTCTGTCAGAAGTCTGCCTGCACCCTAATACTCCACAGTGCTTTAGAGTAAGAACTGATACCCTTTTAAGATATACAACTTACCCCACAGAAAGAGATCAAATAGTCTGAATTTTTGAGGTTTTAAACCCATATATCCTGTTCTGTTTACATCTTTTTTTGTTCTGTGTGCATCTACACCCCTTTTTGCATCCTTTTTGAAAGTAAAGTTTTAATACCTATCTCCACATTAAGATGTTACAAGAAAAGAGCATTAAAAATGGAAGCTTATATTTATGAAAATCATGCAACTACAGGCCTGGGTCTAATATTTATTTTTACTCACAAGCTGTCAAAGTTATATATTTTATTAAATACAGCCTTCTGTTTCAAGATCTGATTTAATAATCTTAGATTCTTTTCTAGTTTCATTGTCAAATGAAAGTGGGTGCCTTCTCCTTGCGTGGCTTGTCTGAACATTTGTGGGTTGGTTATTTTTTGGTTGGGTTTTTTTTTTTTTTTTTTTTTTTTTTTTTTCAGAATGTCCTGTAATTACTCGGCAGTGTTGCATGCTTGAAAGGGAATGCTGATGATATTAATGTCATTTTCTGGAGATAAAGGTGTGGGCAAGCAAGACGAGGACAAGACTGCTTGTCAGGGCAATTGCTTTCTTAAACAATTTCTGCAATGATAACAGCATCAAGCACTGAACATTTCTGACAAAATGCTGGTGTTGGTGTGCCTAATGATCTTAAGGATGTAGTTTGAAATCTGCTGGAATATTAGAATTGTCTGAAGTCCTTCTGGATTAGAATCTTTATTTCTGTTGGGAGTTCGTTCAGGGCACTCTAGAGGAGGTTATAACAAGGCTGGGTCAGGCACATAGAGCAACGTGTGTCTGATACTGTAGCTCATCCTGATCTTCCTAAAAAGAAGGGCTTTGGTTTGAAACAAAAGGTTTAATATTTCTAATAATGTTATAATTCTTCATATTCTTGGTGCTACTCTATGAATTTTAGTGCCTTTTAAATACTAGAAGGAAACATGGTCAGTAAACTTACCTGAAACATAGCCAACATAGGAGACTTTGGAAATCTTTATTATTATAAAGTAGTACCCGTTCATTCTCATATGAAATGTATGAAAGGTAAAAAAAAATCAGCCATAGTAAGCACCAGTTGATTCTGCAGTGGCTTGCTATACAATGTTTGTAATTGTTCTGTTGTATTTCATATACCTATGTAATCGACCAACGATGTGGCATTCTGCGTATCTGTTTTTGGCGTGGCAAAATTGCCTACAGAAGATTTCTGAATAGGTAGAAGAAATAGCATATAGCTTTTGTCCTGAAAAATTGGGAAGCTTGATTGTCATTGTGTAGAATTTGTATGGATGGTAACTGAAGTAGTTGGTACACTGACTGAAAGAATTAAACTGATACTTGTTTATAATAAAACCACAGAGTTTACTTTTAGAAAAATGTTTAGGCAGAAAGAAGATGGATTATTCAGTCTATGCACCCCGACTGCACTAGACAGAATCAACATCAGTATTTGTCACTGTCTCTCATTTTTGATTGTTTAGCAGCGTATTTTGCTGCTTTATCTCAGTGTAATAGTAGTTACAGTTTTTAACCTTCAACATCTTCAGGATTCTGCGGAATAATCAACACCGCATGGAATCTTTCTTGATTGTAGGAACTGTGAGTCAGCAACCCTTTAATTTTTTTAGTTGCAGCTATTGTTCCAGCAGCAAGCTTTACTGCTATTGTCCACTGTTTGTCCAGCTCACGTTTACTGGACTGTGGGAACGGATTAGGGTTTCATGGCTTTTTTTTCCTTCTTGCATAAACTCTTGATCAAAGACATTCCTTGGATGACAAAACACTGTATACTGTGTCACACAGTCCTGACCAGACTGCACGAACAGTAGTTTAAAAACACATGCCTACATTGTTCTCTAGACTGGCTTTTTTTTTTTTTTTTGCAATGTATGTGCAGACATTGAATTTTTGAGACCCCGTTTACCTCCCTTAAAACACACACATACAGAAGTTATTGTTAATAAACACTTGGCAGCTTCTGAAACACAAGTAAAAAACAATTGACTATTTGAAACTAAGGATTGATATAATAGTATGTCACTCCTAAGCAGAGCTAGAGGTTATGTCTGCAGTGTATTTCCTTCTTGAGGAGACCGTGGGTCGTGATGGAGTTAATCACTGTAAACCTGAAACCACACGGACTTAGGCATCATTTTATGTGTCATATCCAGAACACCCAAGTAAGACAGAGAATAATTTGAAACACAATTTGGGAATTCATAATCCTGCTTCACCATAGCTACGTTGTTAGAACTGCATGTTGAGAATCTGGCTTGTTTTATATTTTTATATGTATATACACACACACACACACACACACACACACACACACACACATAGCATGTCTTGCTCTTCTTTTAAGTTCTCTTACGCAGTAAGATGAGGACAAACTTCACAAAACCCCAGTAGCATCATTATTTCTCAAACTAAGGAGACAGAAACAAATCATGTTAGAGAAAAATATGGAGAGACTTCTTCAAGGAGCTATGACTTGCGATTTGCCTGAAATTTTCCTTCAGCAGAAGCATGGGAGGAAGGGAAGGAGATCCCTGAAGACACCTTAAGCAGGTTTACAGAGGGATATAAAAACATGGAGGACTATATTTAGGTGATTGGAAAGTTGTTTGAGGATAGGAGAACACTTGTGTTTCCACAAACATGCGAGGCTTTGCATATATGTGTTTGACTGCAGCACTGTTGGCCGTTATCATGCAGGAGTGAAGGCAGATGAACTTTTTCATTTATATTAGAAGGATACTGTCCATAAGGGAGGAACTTGTCTGATCCTTTGCAGTCCAAGGGTCTCCATGAAAAGAGAAACCTGAAGGAATATGCGGCTGATAGACGTATTGTCTAAAAGGAACAAAGTGGTTGTAGTGAAGGATTGAAACAGCTACAGAAATACTGAGTCAAAAGCATGAAATAAATGTATTATGTTTGTAAGAAATAATGTTTACTTTTGAGTAAATAATTGCTGATACCTTCTGGAAATCTTGGGAAGGTGTTATGTCTGTGCATATAAAAAGAACATAGCTATATTTAGCAGTATACATTTGCTGAAGATCTGGTCTTCATATTTAAAGTAGCCAGCAACCAAATTTAAAGAACTATGGCCTGCGGGTGTTCAAGGAGCAAAAAAGCTCTTCAAAAATAATACCCAGTATTCAAACAATCTGTAGTGATAAAATCTAATAAAAGGAGAAGTAAAACATCAAAAAGCTCAATTGTCCGTTTCAGACAGTTTGCCATCAGACCAGTGACTTAGGACACTGGGTCACTCGTTCGGCGCTGGCTCAGGCGAGTTGTCGTAATGCTCTAGTGATGGTTTAGCGGCCTTTGTTGAATGATTTGCCCATCTCAGCCCAGCTCCTTGAAGACTCGTGCTGATGTTACAGCTAACATTCCTATGGTGGGTAACGTGTTAGCTGTTATAGGAGATTAAGCATTTAATGGAGTAGAGCTTGCACATGGATTAAGACAAGTGTCATGGCAGGCAGGTGGGATGAATTAAATAACAAAACTGCACCACTCAGCAACGTATAATCTGAAATTTATCTACTTAGCAGGTTGGGAATGGTGAGTGGATAGCAATTTCCATTCTGTGTTGCACACACTACATGCACAAATCAAAGCCCTAGGCCTTCACCAGGAGAAAAGTGCTCCTGCTCCAACCAGTTGACATGTCAGGTCCTGGCTTGGAGCTTGGCCTGTGCATGTAGCGATTCCTCCTTTGCTTCAGCTTTCTTGATGGTATTAGATACCTGGAGCTCTCTCCTACCCCGAGGGGTTACCCTCTTAACCAGTTACTGCTTTATATATTTGTCAGTAGAAGCAGCACCAAGCCATTCTCTCTGACTTTTTCCATATCTAAGGCCAGTTACTGCTGGGGAGGAGGAGGGGGTTCCTGTCGCCCTCTGGTCACCCATCCCAAATGTGTTACCAAATGTGAATTCAGCCACAGTTGCCTAATGAAGTTCTTATTCTGTTTCTTTGTTTTCCAGTTCATGCCAGATTAGTCAGAGCTGAGCAGATGTAGTCAAGGTCTCATTTGACTGGGCAGTCTTTGGCTTTCAGGTAGGCTTCACCCCTTGACAGACATGTTAGCAGGGAAGATTGCATTGTGACTGTCCATTAGCATATATTTTTAATATGATGGGAATATAATTTTCTGCTGCAGTCTTCTAGTGAGTGGACAGACTGGTATTCTGGTTTTGAGATTAATTACTACATGGGGGTTTTTAATCTGAAATAAACACCAATTGTTGCATTTCTTCTTCTTCAAGGTTATAAATAAGAAAAGTAACATGAGCTATAATGAAAATTAGAAGAGAGGTGAAATCCACACAGCTGGATTTTTTTTTCCTACTGTATAAGAGGAAAGACCTCTAGCAGCCACTAAACACAGCTTTTTGTGTCAGAGAGGCAGCCTGAGAAAAGTAAAACTGTTACGTTGGTCTGTGTGTGGTCGTGGCTGCTTCCTAAAAGCTTAGGGCTGTTTTGTGAAGGAATTGATGTTCTGAAGACCGCATTAAAAACAGCTTCAGGAGATCGGTAGAAGTGGTGGTGCGTACCCCAGGAGCAGCTCTGTTGCCCACACACTGTGGGTGGTGCTCCTTCATCAGCAGGGCCCACGCAGATGAAGATGCTACCTGTCTGCCTTATTCCTGATTTGCTGTGAGCACACAGTCTTTCTGCCAGTAGTTGCCTCTTCAGGTAAGAGCGATCAGGAAAATGATGGCTGGGAATACTTAGTGACTTCCCTGAAATACGAGACTTTAATACATAGTCTTCACACAGGCAAAAAGTAGGACAGATCTAAGTAGGCCTATGCAGATGCTAACGGGATCACCAAGAAACTATTTCTGTTTTCCTCCTTTAATGTCTATCCCATTAAAGAAACAAAAGGGTAACTTCTGCCTTGCTCCTGAATTTGTACTGCTTGACCCTAAAGAACAAAATCAGAAGTCTGTCAGGTCTCACATTATCAGTGCAATCCAGTTGACTAATTTGCAATCCCTTTCTCATAATTTGATTGGAATATTATGTGGAACTCAGTCAAAAGCCAGATGGGAATCTCTTTGCCATGCCAACACAATTACTGTTATCATTTCTGTTTGTGGGATTGTAAAAAAACCATGTTTGTCTGAAGAGATACATTTCCCATAAAATGATGCTGGCAGGAATTCATTAAAATGCCATCATTTATACCTTTACTGCCTTTGTCCCATGGTAGCTTTTCTATGACGTTGCCAGGAATCTTTGTAAGAGTATCTAGCCCGTGTGCCTGGGTCATTCCTATGACTCCTTCGAAATAATAGCTCCAAGCTTCACTTTCTCCTCTGTCTTCTGGAGGCTTCCATCACTTAAAAATGGCAGATACACTTCAATGTAAGTAGATTCCGAGTTTTTACATTTATCAGATCTTGTTTATTCTTTAATAAAGAGTACGTGAATTTAAGTGTTCATAAAAGGTCCAAGCTTGTAAATCAGTCTGAATTCAGCAGTGGAATTGAGGAGGTTTTTTGGAAGTCTTTTGGAGGTTTTTCTGTGTACGCGTCTAATCTGATGTAAGAAAATACAGTATTTTTCCTTTTAATAAGCTACAGCATAGCCTAGCTGAACATGCATATTTTTTTTACAGCTTATAGTAAACTGTTTTTCTTGCTACATTCTTGTCTTTCTGCCCTTTGCAATGTGAGTAATACCGGCATAGTTCACCCAACATTCAAATTTAGTAGTCTGTATTTAGAGATGATATTTGAGAAAAGGAAAATGTAAATAACAGAGCTGACTTGACTCTGTGGGCTTAAACCTACTTCACAGAACACTTCAGTCGGTTTAATAGAGTTTATAAAACAGATAGGAAAGGCAAAACCCACTTAACATGTTCAGCAACATGCAGGTTTCATTTGCTCACTGAATCATTTTGGGTTTTTATCAGCAAAAAGTTTTTTGACCCAAATCAAGACTTCCTAAGTATATCTTCACTCAACTTGCAAACATTTAAGATCAGAGGGGTTAGGCATCAGTGATACAAAAGCGAGTCTTTTTTTTTCCCTTGTTTTTTCTTTAAAATACACTGAAATTTTGCAAAAACTGATAAAAGATCTGGGAGGAAAAAATTAGTCTTTTTCGACCGAGTCCAATCTAAGCTTTGGCTTGATCTGTATTTAAAGTCACTGTGAATGTTGTTGACATCTTCTTTCACTGCTATATGAATCCTCCTCTGTGGCCTACCAGTGTCACTTGACCATATTGAGGGGCTCCCCGTTTCGAATGGAAAAAAAATTACAGCTCACACTATGTACTGCTATTACTTTACCTGCCTGGTCTGTGATTTTGCAGTAGGCCCCATGGGTCCTGTCTGAAATGACTGGGAAACTATCAAGCTAATACAGGCTCAGCTGGGATTCCTCTGATGCAGGTGGTTTCACATCTATTGGTAACTGCACTAAGACAAACTTCTTTTGCACTACACTATAATTAACATCTTGGGTGTTAAGTTGGGAGTTTCATTTTTCATTTCCTTTGCTGTCCTTACTGCATAGAATCAGCTGTGAAGGTCAAACGAGAAACTAGGGCGGCAGATAGATACTAGGTTTTTGATTGGCGACAGGAGAGACGAGCACTTGACGTTTTGTGGGGGTTTTTTTGTTTTTTTAAGGCAGAAATATTTTCATAGGGTAAATAGTCAAATACCTAGGTTAGAAGGTTGGCCATGTCCATTTCCCTGGAAACATTCAAAGCCAGGTTGGACGGGGCTGTGAGCAACCTGGTCTGGTTAGCGGTGTCCCTGCTCCTGCGGGGGGGTTGGACTAGATGACCTCTAGGGGTCCCTTCCAACCCAAAACATTCTATGATTCTATGTCCACTAAGAACAAGTTGTTTCTGCTGTGCTCAGCTCTGGTAATAACTGATAATGTGCATCCCCAGTTTTCAGAGATACTTTGGAATGTGCATTGGGACACGGGTTATAATTTTTTCTCATTTTACTTTATAATCATATATAATTTCTCTCCCTCTAGGTCCAGTTCTTTTTTTAGGTATTTTAAGTAGGCTTTTACATTTTTCTGGTTTATTCCTTATTATCTTAGTGATACAACAGCAAGATGCAAAAGCTGTGTATGAGGGGAAAGGGAGGGACTGCTTCTAAAACAAGCTATCTTCTGTAAAAGTATTCTAGGACGCAAAACTTTACACTGTAAGTAAATACAAACAAGCATTCTATACCATCCAACACCTACTTTATTTTACCTTTTATTGAAAAGAACCACCAAATGATGGTTTACTTTGAGTAATTACCTTATGTTTAAAAGAAAGTCTTCAGCAAAAAAAATATTTTGCTTTTTTAAAAATACACGTTACTGTGACAGGCAGTCACCTACCCATTGCTAAGAACGCCTACGGTTTCCTAAAAACAACGACTAAAGGTTTTCAGTATTGCAACTATTAAAGCGCAGAGAGTCAAAACCAGAAAATGTCATGTGGTTTACTCACTGCATCAGGTAGTTACTACCATTCAGCATTCATGAAGGCAGGGTTTGTTTTTTTTTTAAAAAAAAAGACAACAAAAGCAGACATTGGGTTTTACCAATTTTATTTCTAGACTTTAGTTTTTTTTGCTGGAAACTTGTCTGTTACAGGTCTGTTGGTGAAAATGTGCATTTCAGACCAGTGATGCCAATAAGTACAATATAAAAATGTACAAATCTGAATTGCTTGCTTACTACAGATTGTTATAATAATGTGACAAATAAAGCATCTCTGTTGGCACATGAACCCACTTAATCTGGATTTGGCCTTTTAGTACATACAATATTTTAAAGAAATTTGCAGTACACACTGCCACTCAGTGTAACACATAATACAACCAACAAGCACTAACTCAATAATCACGTTTGGTTCAGAGACACAGAGATGCCACAAACAGAAGTGTTTTATGAGGTAAGCAGTAAGAAATGTTCCTGAAATTTGGACAGAATGTATCCAGTCCTCCTGGGTCCTGCGACTGCTAGTAGCATTGCAATGCTTTATTTATGCACTATGTAGGATCTTAACTGCATTTGCCTCAAAATGAGTTCTAATTCTGTTTTGGTTTAGCAGCATACAGGCAACAGCTAGATTATTCTTCAGCATACAACTCTGTTAGCTGGCTTATTTATGAGATTTACAGGCTTTTTAAATTAGCATTATGCTATAATTAAAAAAAAAAAAAAAAACCAAAACAAAAAAACCAAAAAACTAGTATATCATAACAGATTAAACACACAAAATACTTAGAGTTCCAGAAGATAACCTATCATACCAAATGATGTGTCCCAGCTGATGGGAAGCCACATCAGGTGGCATACAAGAGTTATATTATAATGCACCTTTCATATATCAATGTGGCTAATAACACAGCTTAAAACTACTATGATAATAAACCCCAGATCAGACAAAGAATCCAGCTTTATAAAATGCATAACAAAAAAACTGACATTACTTGATCTTCTGAAATGTCTGCTGTTTTTAAATTAATGCAACCTAGTTGCAAATCGCGAGACCCATTCAGAATAACGTTCGATGCATTTCCGTCTGCAGTAGAACTATGAGGCACTGTGTACGAACATTAAAACCTGGTCTAGACACGGTTAACTGAAGCATGAGGTATTGTGAAACAGGAACCTTTTTGGAATAGAGCAGTAATCACATTAAGTAAAAATTGATCACATAAAAAAATCTACAAAAAAAATGATGTCAATAATATAATTTTCTATGAGAAAATTAAAACCTATAACATGGCAGTATATGACATTGTATAACCAAAAAAAAAAAAAAAAAAAAACTGATCCACAAAATAGCAGCAAAACACAATGACAAAGATACAGAAAAGCAATGTTAATTTTTTTTTTCAAACCATGCCGGGAATTTATCCATAGCAGCTCAATAAAAATGGAGCATCCACTCCTTTTCTTTTCTCTTTTTCTTTTTTTTTGATTTTAACTTTTTTTTCTTTTTTCTTTTTTTTGTTGGTTTTTTTGTTGTTTTTTTACAATCAACACCTTAGCGGCAGTTTTCTCACATACATTTCACCATCACATTCTCCTCGAGCATCAACTTCAACAGCTATGTCCACGTCCCTTCAGCTACTTTCTAAAATAATAATAAAAAGATACATAGCCAAGATGTGCAAATTTTCTATTTGTAGCTAAATAAAAAAAATGGGGCATATACTGGAATAAGAACTTCTTTCAAGTACTCCAATTTTCGTATCTATTAACTATGGCGTTTTCATGGTTAGACTGCTTTTGAAAAATGTATCTGAAGGGGCCAAATAGACTGCTTTGTTTTGGGTTTGTTCTCTGAAGCGTGTCCTTTTTTCTTTAATAAGCTGTGTTAAACCTGCAACATCAAGGGTAGAAAGATTTTTTTTTTTTAAAAAGGGGCGATTGCATTATTTTACAAATCATACTGGCCTCACGAACATCCTCTGCAATAAATATTCTTTTTAGCCTTAACTATAAATTATATATTTTAGTGTTTAAAAACCTTCAGTTGTAAAACATCTAGCGACAATCCTTAAACTACGTGTCCTATATGTGAACCTTTAAGGCCCCTAATTTATAAAGATGAGTTGGCACCAAAGGATTTCTAAACTTCAACTTTTCTATAGAAAAGGATAGGAAGATATCCTGGCAATTTGTGAATGCAATTTCTCTCACTGGAACACAACCTTCGGAAAAAAAAAAATCACCTCTCCTCTAACACCATAGTTAAATGCACTTGCTTTGCAATTCCAAGTTTGCGAACAAGCACTTATATATTTCCAAACCATTCCATTAAAAAAATTCCCACACAATAAAGAATGTATTTCCTATATCTAATGGTCTGAAAGTGCTTTGAATGGAATGGTTTTAGAATATTACGAACAAACAAAAAAAAAAAACCAAAACAAACAAACAAAAAAAAAAGACTAAACTGTGGATTGAACCTGACCATAATTAGGCTGAATATCTGTGGGGTCAGACCAGCATTTTACACAGGTAACTACAAAAATATGACGATTACAAAAATATAATATATTATGTCACTATTTCGGTTTCTCTTTATAATAGAGTATCGTATGAGTAGTACATTGGCCTTTCCCAACAATGCTAAGCTGGAACCCTACACATGCCTTATGCACAGGCAATCCACAGGCACAAAAAAAGATTAACATATAATAATGCTGCATACTAACATACACTAACTTATGGGTTACGTTAACCATTTATAAGGTGAAGAGGATAAAAAAAAAAACCAAGGAAATAAAATAAACATTTACAGATGAATTATAAAGTGACTAAATGCATAAGCAAGCAAGATACAGAAAAGCCTAGAACTGCGTTAAAGCTATGCTTTTTAAAGAAAAAAAAGAATATTTTATTTACTACCTAAAAAAAAAAAAAAACCCTCTTCTACTTTAAAAATGGTTGGTTGGTTTTATATGTAAGAAATCAAATCTAATACCTCCCCTGGAGACATTTTGTGTGTTAATGCCTATTTTTACAACATACAGACAAGAACACTTTAATATAAAAACTAGTTGATTATTATTGTATAAAATCCTCTATTTTTGTAGCACAAACCCCTGGGGGCAATGCAAATACTATTTTTTTCTTTTTTTAAGACAGTTTTTGGGGTATTTTTTTGTTTATTTGTTTGTTTGAAGTCACAGATGGAAGGGAGACAGAGCAAGAAAAAATATAACAAGACTGGTTTTCCCTTCTGGTATAAAAATGTCCTGGAGAAAAGGGTTTCTGGGGGGGAGATCCTGATGCTGATTCCTTCCAGATGCCCTTTCTTTGTCTGCTTTTCTCGCCAAGCAAACCCATTAGAAGAAGTCCTCTTAAATGTTCACATCTCGCACATCAGTAGGTGTGCAGGAAAGGTCTGCTTCATCCTCTACAGTCTTTGTTTCTGAAGATACGTTGTGCTGCTGTGCCTGACGTAGACTGGATTCAAGGAGGGATTCAATCTGTTCTTGGCAGGCTCGTAAACAATCCTAGAGAAGATTAAATGGAAGGAGAAAAAGACCCAGGGTCCTTTAGAAAAACAGTAAGATCACAGACCAAATACCACTTCTTGAAAAAGCAAGAGAAATACCAAGTTATTTGGGAGGGCAGCAGGCTGAAAGGAGTGTGGGAAGAGCAAGAGAAACACCGAATAGTGTTTCAATCCCAACGGATTGGATGAGCTACCCCATTTTCTGCAGGATGCTAGCCTGGATCCACACCTCAGCAACTAACCCTCACCATCTTCTATGTAATTGCCTAGGGGAGCATCTCCATACACGGTCCTCCAACCATGACTACCATTTTGGTGTTATTCTCAGCCCACAGGTCTACGACTGAATACGATGGATGCTCCACTGCAATGACACATATATAATTACCGGGCAGGACCTTGACACAGTAAGATGTTCTAGCTCGCACTGCTACTTTTCTGCCTGTGCTCTTAACACTTCAGCAGTTCTGTAAAAGTCCATTCGTCCTATCTTTTACCTTGCTGTCCTTTTGAAAAAAGGACAGCAGTGTGAATCAAATCAAAATTAAGTGAGGAGAGTTGCAAAGACATGAAACTGGGCTGGAGTCAGAATTGGTCCAAGTACTGCTGTACAAAAGTTCTTAGACAGAAGTGCCATATATATATATATATATATGTATGTATTTTTAGATGTACACGCCCAAAGTTGCCTGCCAACTGCTGCTATGTCCAGCAGTGGGCAGCTCAAGTTAGCTAACTGATTTCTAACTCAGAAAGCATCTGAACAGGAATAGGTACCAGACTGTATGACCCCGAAATGGAGAGCTCTTTCAGAAGCACCGCTAAACACCTTCGTCACCACGTGTTACAGAGTGCCGTCAAGCTTTCGGTTTGCTACTGCATTCACCTTGAAATCTCAGTCAGGGTCTTGCTTCAGAAGAATTTTCTCAGTGCTGAATGCATATGCAATCCTACCAAGCATTCAGGAGGGCGCAAGGGCCTCACCGCTTGCACAGACTTCAGTGTGAATTAAAAGCATAAAGCACCAAGCAGGATCATGTCTATGGTGGGGAAAGGTTACTCCCCCCAGGCACTAAACCCCCTACCATAAGTAGATATATCCAATTCTACTTATCGACCCACTGCAATGGGAATTGGAGAAGGTCTGTTAGCTCAACCTGTCCAACTTTCTGCAAGTTACAGTTGTGTTCTTCAGAGCCATGTGCATCCATTGCCTTAAACAGGCAAAACAATTGCACTACGTTTTGCCAAAATTCCTCCAGCATGCTGTTTACTCATATCTTTATAACAAACATCGTAAGCTTTTTCCCCAACATATTTAACTCCGTGTATTAAGGACTTTGAAGTTCCCTTTCAGTATTGCCTTTTCTGATTTAACCTATGACATGTGTTAGCCCTTGCAGTGAACCCAGTCTTCCATGATAAATTGCCGTCAAAAGTGTTAGGATGTGCATGACTGAGAATGAATGTTGTTTTCCTGAGAGGGTGACCTGCCTGCTGTTTTCTTTATTTCGCAGTTTCAATTCTGCCTTCATTCAGAGGCTTCTTGTGTGATCTACCAGCTTTTCACTGATTCCACTACCACAAGAATCTCCTCTGCCACCAATAAGGGCACACGGCATTTGGGGTAAAATAAGATTAGAAACCCAAGCAAACAATTCTCTGCGAGTCCTTTCTGAGAGAGAGGGAGGTTAATCCTACCTCTAAGCAGATCAGACCATCAGTTACAGCTCACTGAAAACACATAACCTATGACCTTTTCTGGTTTAAACCCTAGTGTAATATTTCCTCTTGACAGAGACACACAGCGTTTTAAATGACAAAAAGAAACGCCTCATATCCTAAAGTCATCATGCCTTTGGCTCCTACATACCTCTGGCCTTCACAATAAGCTCTCTATGAAGTCCTTTCACCCCTTCCCAAGATATGACGGATCAATCCTGACTGTAAGGCGTCTACTTGCATGTCCTGTACCAGGTACCTCAGTCACACTTGGAATTAGATGTATTAGAAGAGTAAGACATGATTACAGGTTGAGGTACTTTTGGTTTTACAGATGCAGGCGCTTTTGAGAATAATTCTGTTTTAACAAGGTAGCACGTTCAGTGTTCCAAACTGAAAAGCCTATTTCTTTTCAGAGCAAAACAAACCCTGCTTGCCTTTTTTGGTTTGGGTGTTTGGTTTTTTTTTTTTTTTGGGGGGGGGGTAGGGTGTTCAGTGGGATTTTTGTGTTGTGGGTTTTTTTTAATCCTACTATTTGCATATAGCATGTTTGAGCTCTGAAAACTAAAACCATTCAAAAGACTTTCTATAAATACCTATTCTTCTCCCTCTGGAGTCCAGTCATGAATAATTACATAGGACTGTGTAATTTGAAGGTAATTTTTGACCACAGAAATTTTTTCCTGTGAGATTCTCAGAATACCACATGTTGTAACTGTATTTTTTTAAAACATAATCTTTACATTTTATTATGAAAAGACCCTGTCTTAAGCCACAGTTGAATGAACAATATTTTTTTCATGTTTTAGGCATTTCTGTTCAAATAATTTCTTATTCAGATGACTATTAGATGAAGTTTGTCTGCAGGAATGTATTAGAGCTAGCAAAAATACCTGCAAAATATAACATTCCCTGTGAACAACCTCACCGAAGCTTTTTTCATTCTCAGTACTTCTCAACACTGAAAAGCAAATACAAAACTTGTGCATTATTCTGATAACTTCTCCCAACAACTTTTCTGCTTCACTTCCCAAATTTTCAATGCCCACAGTTTGTTCAAGGTCATAAACCCTTCCTGGATTAATTAAGCTCCTCAGTGGAAAAAAAAAAAAAAAAAAAAAAAAAAAAAAGACTTGCTAGCTTAACTGATGTGGTCAAATACCTTTAACACACACACAGTAGGCATGATCGGACTCCAGGGTCAGATACTAAAGGAAACAAACAACAACAAAAAAGAAGCTGCTTGGAAATCCTTTGTTAGTGCCGGCCCGTTCTGGATAACAAGCACATGTTTGAAGGTGCCTGTGAGTAGGGGCAGGCAGGAGAGGAATTCCAATGTACTAACAGACAGCATGGAAACCCAATCTAATCTAGTTTAGCAAATTTCTGGCCTGGAAATGAATGTCAGGTAAAATTCAATCCATTTGGATGATGGGGTCAAGAATAGAATGATGGAAGACAGCCCAAGACTTCTAATTGTGATTATCTGACTTCTAATTACCCCTGATCAAAGGCAAAAATGGGAAATTGGACTCCTACCAACGTAAACATGAACCATAAAGGAATTCCAATCAGGTGATATTCATTTTACTTTAGATTCAGCTTTCTTTGAGACTAAAGGTAAAAAAGTGTAATTATATAACCTGAAATCCAACAGGCCAGCTGCTCTAGCTAATAGATAATCAGGGAGAACGTTAGCCGTGTTATAATGCAGGCTCTTAATATTTCAAGACAATCCAATACAAAGCGTATTCATTTGTGCGGTCTGACAAATCACTGTGGAGTAACAAACTTCACATACATGCTAGTGAAGTAAGGTAACAGGAATAGCATTTGATACCACGGATTATATAGGCACGTCTTAGGGGAAATTCTCTATGCAGGGGAATCTTGCCGTGTATGAAACCAAGCAGTTTACTCAAAGCAGTAGTAGTGAAAAAAGCTGTTCCCTTATTCCATTACAAACAGAACAGTATACATAGGTATAATACACAGGTATAATTTTATGATGCTTATTTTCTGTAGCAACCTATGCAAAAACCTTACTTCTAAACCCTCGCTGCTGTAACACGTGAATATATTTAGCAATGAAAGCTGGAGGGGAGTTCCTTCCTTTGAAAGGTGTTAAGTTCAAGTTACACAGACTGTGGCCTTGCAATGACTCTGGACAATAAAAAAGAAATAAGCAAGGACTCTCCTTCTTGCTAAAACTTCTTGCCTTTTAAAAGAGCTCTGTCACCAACTAAGTCAAGTCACATAAGGACATGCTGCTGTTCTCCAAGATGTGACAGAACCGACTTCAATGCTTTGTATCAGGAATGGTTAAATAATGTTTTTGTTTCAATCAGATACTATCAGAACAGATAGCGAGCCTAGTATTTTTCCTCAGTACCTGCTTCCAAGTATCTCCCACTGTATAGCGGCCAACCGTACACCGAAATATCTATGTTGTTCACAAACTGACTAAAAGCATTACACATACGTACCAAACTGAGCGGCATTTTATTTCAGCATTTGAAATTCTTACAGTATTTAACATTTCAGCGCCGGATCCCTATTACTTTAGCTGCAGTAATATAAATGGCAAAACTAATGTTCTCAACACTGAGGCATTTTTAATGTGATCAAAATAATTAGCTATCCTATTTGTCAGCAATTGTTTCACATAGTCTATCAAAAATATAATACTCTTTCGTGAATAATTAATTATGATGCATTTATCTTTCCAGAAAGCACTCAATCCTGCCAACAAAGTCCAATGAAACAAACCTACTTTTGCAGTGCCTGGACTAGGACAGTTCTCTAGGTATTTGAATTATTAATGTGTAAAATAATGTAACAGCATCTCAAAGATTCTGCCGCTAACCACAGAGCTGTCTTTATTTGACTCATTGTCCAGCGCTTGGAGACCTCACAAGAACCTTTTTAAAGCATCTATTTATTGGTCTTCCACATTGTTACAAAACAAAGCTCAACTCTGCCCCAACTTCACACACCATTATGACATGGATCATTGACTTTAGGTCTTCCTTGTAGGCTCCCTTCCTGGCCCATTCACTCATGAAAGGTTTATTGCTCACTAGTTACTGATGTGCATCTCCTGGAAGCTGCAGGGCAAAATGGGAGTCCTGAGAGGACCATCTACCTTGTCAGAAAGTCGTGGGACAAGCATTTGTTCCGAAAAGGAATTCAATACCAGCTACTGTGCAGGTCTAGCACGTAATAAACCAAATTAGATCATTAGAACTCTTTTAAGAAGGGCTTTTTCACACCACTTGGCACAATAAAAAGCCTCAAGAATGGTCAAAGATAAGGTCAGAGATACCATGAGGTCTCAGTAACTATTTCCTCGTCTTATTTTCAAAGTTTTGTTTTACACAGACTCCCAGTTTAATTACCTACAACCAAACACAGCCTCTGTAAGGTCCTAGATCGATGGCAGGGTTTCCTTTGCTTTGTCAGATACGCCTCTCTTACAAACATTAGAGCTGGATGTGGCATTCCTATCAGTGAACTGCAGCAGCGTAATCACAGATTATTAATGGATATAATGACAGCTAAATAACTAGGACGGACACAAGAGAACACGTTCAAAAACCCCACTCTGAGGTTTGACTTTTACTGAGATTTACGGTCAGATTAGCTACTATGCAGTAAGCAGGCATTCATTCTTAAACTCTAAGGCAGGAGATCAACCGAGAGAAACAGTCACTTACCGGATCACATTTGATAACTTGTGATAGGAAATGTGTGAGGCATTGATAGGAGAGGAAAGTGTTAGTGTTCCCCAGATGCAGGCCTTGCACAGCTGCTACCACACTGCCAGCTGCGATCATGGAGGGTGGGTTTGAAATAAATTTAATATCTGTATGAAGAAAGAAGAGAGAAAAAAAAGAAAAAAAAAAAAAAGACTGAAATGATTGCTTTAGGAGAAGCCTGCCCGTACACATACACTCTTCTACCAGCATGGCTTTAGCTGCCAACTATTGCCTCTGAAAAGGTTAGGGAAAATTGTGAGCAGAAAGGTGCCTCCTGCTCCAAACTGTTACAGGTCCAAACCTGTGAACACTTATCCACATGAGCAACTGTACTCCAGCGAGTAGCCCTTCCTAGCACTAAGCCTGGGAGGCCATTCATCACCGTGAGGTATTTTTATCATAAGCAGGGCCCCTGTTCCTCAAATGTTAAAATACTTTGCTCATGTGAATAATGCCACTGGGGTCAATGGCACTATACATCTGAGAAAACCTGTTCACATTCTTAAGTGTTTCGCATGATCAGATCCTAGGTGCACGCTAATAAGGAGTCCTCAGGCCCTTCAAAGCGGAAACCTTGCACTGACATTCAAAGGAACACAGCTTTAATGAACAACAACATCAACAAAAAGAAAGAAAGAGAAAGACTGCTTAACCCTGTCAGGAGGCAGATAATCCATATTTAAATTAAGGTTTCATCTTAAAAATGCTTTGTCTCAACCTAGTCTCTTGTCAGTGGCTGCCATCCATCCTGGCAACAGGGATTTAATGTAAATGTGGCATAACTAAGTGACGGGGGTCCCAAGAATTGGCGGACAATCAGTTACATTCTGATGTGACACCATGCTGACAAGAGGCTGGGCCCCCTTCCAGACTGCATTGCTGTAGGTCTCTCCACAAAGCCACTCCCATGATTCCTTAAGGGGCTATCTCTGCCATTTAGCATGGGTTTGGTTTGGGGTTTTTTTTGGTTTTGTTGTTTTGCTGGGTTTTTTTTACTAAGAATGATGATACACAATTTTAATGCCAAGACTCTTTCCGCTGAACAGGAATGCGTTTGATCCGTGGCAGCGTACACCTTGGAGGAGAATCAGAGACAAAGGAAGTAAGTGGCACAAGTGAACGTCTAATTTTGTGAGGAAGAAAGGGAAATGCCACATTATACACCAGAACCTGAGATATATTCCTCCAGCTTTTATCAGAATACAACTTTCTCTGGGCTGAAAAAATATAAACCATCTGTCAAACCCTTGAATGAAATCAAAGGAATGGACAGCTTAGAGGGCTCAGTGGAACAGTTTAAGTATTAAATCATGCATCTCCTTTATTATGATAAAATAACTTTTGTGTAAATGTTTTACCAGTGAAACTAAAGACTTTGGGACTGTATGAGAAGTCCCCTCTCTCAATCTATTTATACACCTCTAACACTCCATGGTAGCCCTGACCAATACCCACCTTCAAAGCGGCATTGCGCCCAGCATTCTATGAACCTTTGAAATTAAACTGATACAATGACTTGTGGCCAAAGTTTTGTGATGCACTGCCAGCAAGAAGGCAAGCTTGATATAAAGGCATCTCGTTTACGGTACCATCCTTAAAATAAATTCAATTTATCCCCTCTTCATAATCTGCCCGCTTCCGGGCAGATACAAACACACCCACCTTCTAGCAAGCTTCCGTCATTCCCCAAAATCAAAGTCATCCAGACGGCTTAGTGACACTACAGACAGTCCAAAGCCAGCCCCTAGCTGAAACACTGCTACACGGTTGTTGCAGGTAAGCTTCAGGAATAAGGGCTTTCAGTAGGCAAGCACGAATTCCACCAAGACTGGGTTGCTCAGAGCAGCACGGCGGCAGCACGTCCACGACGCTATTTACTGAGCTCCACCAACAGAACATGACCAAAATGTGTCAGTTTAATGAGTCCGTCCTGACAGGATCACGTTTGGGATTAATATTTGCGTTCTTCTTTTAAATGGAGCAGTAAACAAGAACATGAATTCATAGTCACACCCTCATTCTTTCCAAGGTGGAAAAGTGATAATGAAGTTTAAATGACCAGTTTGTGTCTGTCCCTATAACCACTCCAGACAAGCAGCATGGACTGCCTTTTTGTTGCAACTCAACAAGGAATTATTTGTGGCAGAGGCCACTAATTTCAGCATATTAATCAGGGGGCCCCTCTCGCCTGTAATTGGATGCCCCCAAGTGAAGAGTGTGGCATCATTGTCAGCCTCCATCGCCTCATCTTGCGCTATTGAGCGCTCAGGAACAAGGGGGCTTCGGTGAGATGAATTAGACCTGACACAGCCACAATGGGGTAGGGGGCCCCATCAATTGAAGCACACATCCCCAGTAGCCTATCTGAGACTTCATCCAAAAAGAATAAACAACTTCAGCGTTGTTAAAAAGAGAGAGAGGGAGAGAGAGAGAGGAGGGGGAGGAGAGAGAAGAATGCCAGCCACCCTGAAGGGAGGACAAAGCAGGCATATAGGCGCTGCAGCGCTTTAAAAAAAATTCCTAACAAGGCGAGTCACCCCTTTTCCTTTTTAAATGGAGCAGCAATTCCATCCGTCTGGAGAGCTGGGGGCTATGAATGAAAATCTTTTCATTGAGGCAAATCAAAACTGCGAACATAAATCACTTGCTGCAAGATGCAACAGGTTCCAACTGGTCACATACCTTGAGACTCCCAATTTTATAAAGGCCAGAGAATAGGAGAATTGTAACACGCTTGTTTCAAAGGGGGATCTTTCTTTCTCCATCCGAGAGGAGGAAAGCAACAACAATAATAGCAATAATAATAATATAAAAGGAGCCTGGTATGTTTTGATAACCAGAGGAACATAATGAAATGCTGAAGCTCCAATATTTGTTGCTATTCATTGTTATGCTTGTATAGAGCTGCAGTTCTCCCTCAACACTGGTCTTAACTTGGGCCAAAAGAGGCCTGCTTCCTTTTGAGCTCTCCCTGCCTTGCTCGGCCATGCCAAAGCCCCATTCATTAAGCTCAATTATGTGTTAACTTCAAACAACCCCTGGTAATTTTTTTTTTTTTTTCTTCTTTTTCTCCCGAACCTACCACAGCACAAAGACATCCTTTGGCGAAAATGGATTTTTCAAAACTCAACCAAACCAAACAAATCCACTTCTACTAGCCAGACAACTGAAGAGGGAGCTCAGAAGGAATTCCCCTCAGCTTCACCTTGCAGCGTAACCTTCTCCTTCTGGAGCAAACACATACACGCTCATCTACAAACACTTCCACAGCCTTCACCTTGTTAAGCCAACTGGCGGAGACTTTATTTTCTAAGCAAGCATTATTTTGCTGCCTCTTCTTAGGAGACTCTCCTGTACAGTTGAGGCCACGGGCTGTACTTCAAGCAAAGGACATACTGCACTGGCCCCCAAGGCCACTTAAGCGAGTGTCAGTGTTTCCAGTGGACTTTGGATTGGGCCCCACAGCATCCAGGCAGCACAACGCATTTGCAGTCCATCTAGGTTCATTTTGGCAAGGGGAAATACAACACAACCCAGCAACAGCAAAGCAAAGTCCAGATGCTACTTAAGCCACATGTGATCTTCACTAGCCAACAAAGAAGTCATGAGGAAAGCAAGAGGTAGAGAAAATCCTGACATCCAAAAATAACAATAAAAATACAGAGCCTAGCGGCAGCCTTCCTGAGCACTCCTTCCCCAGGCAATATTCCCAACTTCAGTAGGGAGCTGAAGAGGGCCCCAGTTCTGGTGAGCTCAGCACTGTTTTTTTTAAACGCTAAGTAAAACTCCCAGAACATGGTTCTCATTTACTGATCCATTCTCCAGCTGTGGTGTGTAGCAGTGTTAAATAAAGGCTCTGGATGTGCTTCCTAAAAGAAACATAACAACAACGACAGTAGATCAAAGTACTGGACTCTTAGCAAGTCTCCAACCTTTGAACTACTCTTGTTTTCATCCCTGTCATTGCCAACACAACAACCTAGGTTAAACATCCCCATATCCAAAGGGGAGGCCGGGTAGCCGTTCTTTTTAGCTAGCAGCCGAGGAAGCTTCAAACTTAGCGAATCACACATTTGGAGTCGCAGCAGCATTATCTGGTAGGATCTGGCATGGAGTTAGGTCTGATTTTCCCAAAATGTTGCTGCAGGTAGGTTGAAGACCGTTTGAAGGTTGTAGCGCTCCGAACACCGAGCATTATTCCAGGCAATCTAACTTAGGAACTGCCCATTATGCTGAGGTTGGGCCCAAGATGAAGAGCAATGACAGTGTTTATAAACTTCTCTTTTAGGCTTCGTCGGTCTATCTTTAGGCCTTGCAGTAGGACTGATTCTGTGAAATAAAATTTTTCTTCCGAGCGCCTGCCATCTTTCTTCAATCTTTTTTATACCAAATCCATCTCTGGAAAATAAACTACACAACATTAATTTGTGCCATTGACCACACATGTCCCACCGAGGTTTTCAAGTGTGGATACCTCTTCTCACGTCCAAATGCAGGCTTGATCTCTTTTTTTTTTTTTTTTTTTTTTTTTTTTTTAGCACACCTGCCACTGAGTATTAACATTTCCTAAAGCACTGTATCTCCTTTACGCTAAGTTTTTATCAGCGTCAACAGAGTGTCTGGCATTCCTCTTTACGTGCTACTGCAATAGAACATTTGCTTTGGCTGCTCGTTCTTCCTTATTCTTTTGCCATTCCTGGATTGGTCTCGCCATACTAGAAGAAAACGCGCTGAACACGTTTCGTTTAAAACAGAGTATCTTTCCTCTAGAACTTCTTTTGTCCCTGCTCCTCCACTCTGTCCTGTGGGAACAGCAAGATCTGGAAACACTCTTCTAAAAAGTTCTTTTTTTTTCCTTCCCACTTGCTAGGGTTCAGTAGGTAAAGCCGGAACACGTACCAACGCATACGCACAGTCCACATGCAAACATGGAACTTCAAAGAAGCACCGCGCGTGCACGCACGGTGCCCTTGAAACCAAAGATCAGGCCTCTGCAAACCTGGCCTAGCGAACAGTCGGCGTCTTTGGAGGCCGGCCCTGCACATGGCTTCAGCACAGCACGTGGTCGGAAGGGTGCAGATGGCAGCAGCTCGGTCCTGTGCCAGGAAAGCCTCTGTGCCGCGTGGCCCTCCTCCAATCCACCAGCCACCGAGGAGGGGGGAAGAGGCAACTTGAAGAGGGAAGTTTTAAAACCCCCACGCAGAGCTATTCACAAGCCAGATCTCCCTCCGCCTTTAAAAACCATCTTAAGAATGAGTCCACACGGGGAGGGATTCCCCGCACGGGCAGTAAGCCTTTTGCAGCCCCCACATAAAACCCGGTGTAGAGAGGCGAAGAAATCGTGCCACGCTGAGCTGCGACTCCGCGGCTAAGCTACCAAAGAGGGGGGTGCTCCTCCCTCCGCGACACCACCACATACTCGACTCAGAAGCAAAACGATCTTCTGAAAAAAACTTACCTCTGCAAAGTAATCCACCTTCTGCAAACAACAAGGGGCAATAATCGGGGCTTAAACTACCTCCCCGCAGCTCTGGGAGCTCGCTTTAGACCACAGCTATGGGAAGCTTTACAAGCCAGGGGGTAGGCACGTGTAGGGGAGCAACACGCTTTGCTTAACGTGCAGGGCTCATACCTGTAGCGCACAGAGCCACAAAAGTCTGAGCGTGTTTACGGATGATCTGCTTGGTGTCCTCTGCCAGAGGCATTTTAGTAAGGAAATGTTCAATGAAATCGTGGGGGGTCATTGCAGCCAGATTCCATTTCAGCTTATTCACCAGAAGCAGCTCCATTTGCTGCAAAGACAAGAGGGAGGGAAGGGGGAAGGAGAGAAGAGGAAGGAGAAGAGGGGAAACGTGGTTAGCTCCGCTCGCAGCCTGCGGGGCCCGCGCTCGCCGCAGCCGGGCGATGCTGCTCTCGCCGGAGCCCGCTTGTATCAAGGTGTATTAATTCATTTCCAGCCTTTCATCTTGGAATGTCAACTGCAGGTTTTGAGCTGCAAGAGGCACTGCAACCTACTGTTATGAGTCCAAATAATCACTCACAGTGCAATCTGCCAATATTGCTGCTTTTGTATTTTAGTCTACTATTAAGTAGACTATGTTAGAGGTTCTTTCTTGTGTAGTCAAGATACGCTGACTATGTAAGAAAAAGTACTCTTGCTGGACCCCCTGCTTATTCACCTTTCTTTTTTTTTTTTCTCCCTGAGGTGATTAAACGTGAAATTACCAGTAACTCGTCGGGTCTAATGGAGTTATCTGTATAAATGCACAGTTTTTCTGCGGTCAGAGGAATAGTTTCCTTCATTTTTGAAGCCACAAACATGCAGGTAGCTCCCAGCAATTGCAATCGGCTTTTCTTGAGGGGTTCAAACGACAAAAATCTGTCCAAATAATTCATAGCCAAGGGGAAAACTTCCTCTTCGCACTTCTGCTCCTCGCAAACCTGGAAGAAGGAGAGAGATCGTTGAAGACTAATTTAATCTGAACGCAAGCTAGGCTCGTCCCTCCGCCCTCGCCTTCCCTCCCCCCCGGGCCCCCCAGGCTTTGCAGGGCAAGGTTGAAGGAGGCGAGGGGGGAAATGCAGTTGGGGGAAACGGATAAATAAGGGGCAAACAGAGGCATCAAAGAAAACGAAAGTCACGAGTGACAAAGTGGGGAGAAATGTGGCGTTAGAAATCCGCAGGCGATTCATGGTAAAAAGTGCGGGGGGGCGGGGGGAAATGAAGAGGAGCTCTGTCCCCATCTTTCCATCCCCTAGAACAAATTTTTAAAAAGGAAAGAAAAGAAAAAGCGGAGGAAAATGCGAGCCCCCGTGGCAGGGAAGGGGGTGCAGAGCCGGGCTTGCCCCCGGATTTATTTATTTCGCTTTTATTTTTTTCATCCAATTCGCCGTTGTGCGGCCGATTCCCCTCTCTGGTCGAGACACAAAGGTGGCGTCCAGCCTCATTTCCCCAGACGTCATCTTTTCAAAAAATATTTAAAAATATTTAAAAAATCCTTGGAGCTTTCAAAAAAGGTTGAAAATGAAGCTGCGGGGGTCCTTTACCGAGCCCCGTGCCGATGGTCCTGCTGGGGGGCTCCGGGGAGGCCCCCCGAAGTGAAATCCACCGCCTCCCTCTCTCGCCTTGCAGCACAGCCGGGCGCGACGTTTCCCAGAGCAAGGCAGGGCGCTGCGCTTTCAAAAATTAATTAAAAATAGATCTCGGGCGCCCAGGGCTTCGGAAAAGGGATGAAAATGTAGCCCAGCTCCTGGGGCTCCCGCGGGGAGCCCCCCCAGAGGGGTCCCGCCGGGGGACGAGGCCCTTTCCAACTCGCTTTTCCCAGGCGACCTTGCCGATCGGCGCCGCAGCACAAGCGTGCCTTTGAGGGGTGACCGCAGCTCCAGCCTCTCTTCGCGCCGAACAAAGA